CTGTCTTGTTTTGATGTTCCCAAGAGCCCTGTGGGAAGGTATTGCCAACAGTTTACTGAAGAGGAAGGGCTGTGACTAAGATCACATGACTAGACAAGGGTGGATTAAAACCACAATGCTTTTACAGGTGGATGACACTAGTCATGAAGCCTCCCTACTTTCCTCTCTTGGGTCTTGATGGGGTCTCTGGGACAACCTAAGCACACAGTGACCATGGTGGCTGGCTCTGGCCACTGGATTATCTCTTAAATTAACCAATGTGTCTAGGCCTTAACCATGAAGTTGGGGGGCTACAAAGCTGTGACTAAAGTGTGAGGGGTGAGCGACTTTCAGAAACTATGTATTTTTAAAACAAACAACAGGCCATCTGTGCTTGTCAATCCAGCCCTGGACCTATCACACGCTATTAGGAGCTAAGGCAGTGGGCTGCAGGAACACTACCCAGAAAACTAGGGGTCGCCTGGGGCGGTGGGGTAGGTGGGAGCCAGGAGCTTTTCACTGAAGGCTGCTGGAAGCAAAAGTGGCAGCTCTTTCCTGACCAGCCATGGAAGAAGCTGCTTCACCTGGGTACCTAAGCTCTTAAAACGACTCCTGTCACTAGGGCCTGTCCCTATGTAGGGCACTGGGAACCCAACCCTCTCCTGCCTGCATCCTCACCCCTACTCTTGTCAGGGAGCATCATGGTTCTTTGTTCTTTCCATGACTTAGACTGAGTCTCAGAGCTCTGGAGAAGAAAAGGCCCCAGCCTAACTCCCTGCCTGGAGTCTACATCAACCCTGGCTTCATGGTATTGTGAGACTGAGGGATCTACAACTCATTTATCTTGGTGTCTTCTCGTACCTGGCCTGTGAGCATTTAGTAGATCACTTGTGGAGCATGTATGAGGCTCTAGGCTCCATTTTCAGCACCAGGCAGGGAGAAAATATAAAACATTAAGTAGAAAAGAAAAAGCACCTCTGCCACAAAATGGTCAGCACTGTAAGTTATTCATTAGGAAGTCTTTGGAGTGTTGGTTTAAAAAATACTTATTTGAATTAATTTTTATGAGAAACAAAGTGATCAACATAATCAAATATGAAAAAGGAGAAAGTCAACATATCAGTAGAGACCACTAGACTTAATGAAATCTTTCCTTAGCCACTGGCAAAATCAATAAAATCCATACAAAAGCTAATCCTGTTTTCAACTTTTAGACCAGTCTGAAACAGGAGGATTATTACATGTGTTTTAGTGCCCACACTGTATAGGCCAGAATCTGGTTCTATTTAGTGACAGTGTTATAGAAATATGATTTATACAGTTTTAAAAACTACTGAGTAAAAGTTCAGGTTATTTCTTTTTTTCCCCTTCTCTTCTCTACTCTATAATTTGCCAGATCAAATCATCTACTCTCTTTGTGAATGAATTATAAAACATTTGGTCCCAAAAGTGGATTTCAATTGTAGCCATAACATTCTGATTTGTGCCTGAACTCAGGTGATAGTCAGCACACAGGGAGGGAGCAGAGCACACCCAGCTTTGCCTGGGTCAGCTACTTCTGGGGCATGCATCAGTGGTGGTGCAGACTTTCTGCAGGACCGTGTCTTTCACAAGGAGGCAGTTTCATCAGAGCTCCGATCCCTCACCCTTCCCTGCAGTTATGGCTTTCTTACCAGATCCTCTCTGGAATAGGACATATACAACTCCTAGTATGGACAAATATAACGGCGACTACACTTATTCCTATTTGGGGATTACAGGAAGAATTACGTTTTATAAAATTCACTTAGGAGACTAGTTGTCATCTCATGCTTGCTCTCTGAATCTGACATGAGGGCCATTGAGGAGGTGTGTTCCCCGTGGCTCTGCCTGGCTTGCTGATCTGCCAGGGCAGGAGACAGACGAGCTGATGGCACGGAGGTAAGTTGTGGGCAGAAAGGATACCACCCATCAGGACCTGATGAGAAGGAGCCTTTTGTTTTTGATTAAAAACGTAACTTTTAAAATGCCTCATTCAGTTTTTTTTTGTTTTTGTAAAATCAAAACACAGGAATTTTTCTTAAATGAAAACCAGAGACAGTTTAAACATTTTTTTAAAGCAAGTAAGTTATAAAAAGTAGCCTAGGAAATTGTCTTTTGTAATTCTGCCAGTTTCAGTTTGATTTTTTTTTTTATGAGACCAGTATCAGGATAATAATATTTAGTTGACAAGAAAGAGAAGAAAGTTCTAAGTAGCTCTTTTGCATTCCTTTCAGTTGTTTGGCTGGGTGATGTGAAGCTAGCTATTGTTAATGTAGCTACTTTGATGGGAGCTAACAAGGAAAGGTATATTATAACATTGTCAACATTTTAGATATTCCAAGTCCATACAAATGGAGACCCTAAGAAACCACCACCACCACAGTCCCAGTCCTTTTTGACTGTTTCTCTTGGAGTCATAAAATGAAAGGGGAACATGAGTCAACTTTAGATAAAAGGTGAAATCAGGTTATAGGTGAGTATTATTTATTTACAAAGTACAGACTCCACGCTACTCATTTTTGTTGAAACAACCGGCCTTTCTGTTCTAGCTACTTCCTAGGACCTTGTGCAAAGAACCTAACAGCTCATGGTGGCAACTACTAAGGCACACTCAGCTTCATCCACGGGTATTTCCTGATGTTTCTTTGGTAAACTGTAGCCTAACAGAAGATATCAGGAATTAGTGTAAGAAGTATTCTAAAAGCTATTGTCACTGCAAACATGAAAGCAACTTTGATGATCAAAAAGAAGTCAACAACAAAAAAAGGCTGAAAGTAGTTCCTGAATCCTTCCCTATTGTTCATTTGGGATTTCTTAACTCTCAACATATTATGGAATTTTCTGTGTGAAGTTTTGCCATGAATTTAAGTGGTGTCAACAAAGTTTTACCTTAAACCACATTTTAACCACAAAATGGAGAAGCCGCAGTCCTCCAGGGAGCCCCAGAAAGTTTTCTGCTTTTCAAAATCTTGTTTTTAATTCTTTTTGCTACAAACGTCCTGGACAGAGGACGGTGCTCAGGTGACCTTCCTTGACAATTAGACCCATACCACTTGGACCTGTATGCCACCACACTCCCACCTAATGATGCATTTTCATCTGTGGCAAATCTGCCCTGTCTTCGTTTCTTTTGCTCCGTGCATTTCTCTGCCTGCAGAAGGTCAATGGGATTAGCTGCTGTCACAGACATTTAGAACTCCAGGTTTACTTTCTTGTTGTCTTTAGTAGATTTGAAACTGGCACCAGTTTGTGTCTTCCTTTCTTATACTAACTAGAAATGAACCTTAAAGTCGCAATAGGAAGGTCTAGAATCCAGATGGCCTTGTATCTGATACACCTCTGCTAGGTGTGATCTTATGTGGCCATCTGTAAAACAAAGATGGTGATGCTGCCTTTCTGTGGTCACAGAGATGATTAAATGCTTCTTGTACACTGTCCTCTTGTAGAAAGTATGAGTGTTTTTTTTTGTTTTTTAGTCAAGAGTATTTCCACTGTTTTCAAGTGTATGACATGGATACTACATAGTACATAATATATAAATACATGCATATGTATCTGTGGAAACAGAACTATATATGTGAAATATATACCTAGTAGTTATAGGAATCAAGTCAACACAGTAAGATTTCACTTTTCAAGTCCCATATCTTTATATAGAACTTAACTCAGAATGGGCCACATACTTGAATGTAAATCATACAGCTGTAAAACGTGCAGGGAAAAAGGAGAAAATCTGGAACTTAGTGCTGGGACACACGTTCTTAGCTTGACATTAAGAACATGATCCCCAAGAGGAAAAGCTGATCAACTGAATTCAGTTACAAACCTTTTGGTCGGTGAGTCTGTTAAGGCATGCTGAGACAAACTGTAGAATGTGGGGAAGATCTGACAACTGCACAGTACAGCAATCTTAGAACTCAGCACCATTTTCCCACTCTCTGCCTGAAGGGCCTCTGTCAATATCTCTAGAGATGAACAGAGCCTCTATGACCAGACCGGAACTCTTATGGTTTCCAAAAGTCAAAATAACCTGCCCTGAGATCCTATACTGGATTTTACCAACACAGCTGAGGTATCCATATCTGGCAACACTCGGTGGGGGGAGGGGGAAGGGGCGTGTATAGTGTATTGTGACACTGAGGAAGTGGTAGCAAGACTATAGCCAGTGGCTAAGGACAATGAATCACCCAGGGTCTCATTAACACTCATTCTCTGTTGGTCCACTGTTGAAGCTTTAAAGTGTCCAAATTGCCACTTGCTATAATTCATTAAAACTAGGAGTTGAGTAAAAATAAGCCTGTCATTTGAAAATAAAATAGGCCATTAGCTATTGTCATAGTCAGCTTATTTTATTAAAAGAATGGGAAGAAAGAGGTCAATAAAACTCAAAAGAAAACATGTTTTATGCCTGTTAATTAAATAATGCCCATTTATTTTATGGGGCTTTATACAATCTGAAGAGAAATCAGAATATATGTCCCCATATTTTTAAGCGATGGCATAGAAGACACTGTTGGCTGTCTACTCAACATCTATCTGTCTGCTTGTTTTCTTTCCCTCCCTTCTGTAACCCCACTATCAGCTGGTGAGTCCTGACTGGTCATGGCTAGTTGGGGTACTCTCAGTTCTCTTGTCCTTGACTGGGCATGCTCGGCAGAGCATGTGACCTGCTGTATGAAAACGGTATGAAAGAAGGCAGAGTCTAAAAGCCAACTACCTTCTGCATCTAGAGAGCACAGATATGGGTCGGATATGTGGCTGTACCCATCTTGGAACTGCTTTGAGAATTAAGCCACCAAAGGGTGTAGAGCCACCAGAATGTCAGATGTGCACTCCGGAGCCTTCACTATCTCTAGACTCTTGTTCTGTATGGGAGTGCTTGCCCTTGTTTCTGGTGACCCAGTGGGGTACTTCATCCTCAAAGCAAGAGGATCCTAGCTGACACTGAAGCAGTCGCCGAGCTGGAGAAGGAAGGGACAGACAAGCCAGCGAGGACCTACCTGTTCCTGTGCCTCCAGTTCTTTGTGTTGTAACTTCTTCTCTGCATTTCGCACCTGATTAGAGCGGGTTTCTAGTTCATCCTGTAAAGCCTGAAACAGTGTAAAAGAAATACAGCAACATCAAAAATTAGTGTACTTGAAAAATTAGCTTTACCACATGAATTGGTATCACCAAGGCCTCAGATGGTGGCTTATTACTGTTGTTTTAGATTTCCAGAAATCAAGCCCAGGTTTTGCATGCTAGGCTCACATCATTTGTTCTTTAGGAATACCTAGAATAAAAAACTGCAAATGCATCTGAGTGTGGTGGCACATGACTACAAACCCAGCACTCAGGAGCCGGAGGCAGGAGGATTGCTGAGAGCTAGAGACAAGTCTAGGCTACATGGCAAGACCCTATCTCAAAATTCCAAAAAGCCAAAGAAAAGAAGTGGAGATCAATGACCACTATTGGGGAGAGAGTCCACGCACACTTTTCCTTCCAGCTCTCTGATGCTTGCTAAGTCTTCCCACTGCAGTCAGCAATCATCTGAAACCCAAATCCAATGATGCTGTCTCCCCGTGGAAATTTGGAGCCGTTTTCCATCACCCCTGAAATGTGGCTTGAGCTCTTCAGTGCAGAATGAAAAAGGGCCTTGAACTAGTGGCACAGAGGAAGAACCTGTGTGTGGCTTGTGTGTTGCGCTGGAACCATCATTACTTACCATCAATAACAAGCTAAGTCAGGGTAGACTGACTATTTCCGTCATGATTCTTTGTGACAGGTCATACTCTGTCTGTTAAAGAGGAGATCACGGGGCTCTGTGTGCTAGGTTCACACTTCCAGTAGCGAGGCAATGGGCTGGTGTTAGTGTTTCTCTAGCTTCAAATTCAACACCTGGGCTGTGCTCTGTTGCCTCTTCCTCCTTCAAGCCCAGTCTCTTTCCTCTTTATTCCATCTACCCTGTTCTGAAACTCAGGGCAGAGCGCTGGACTCTTCTGGGTTCTTCCCCACCTAGTGTTGAGGAGAACTAATGCACACGTGTGTGAGAGGCTGCAGATGATTGCAGCTGTGGGTTCTTGGTCACTTCTGCAGGCTCGGGGCCTGGCCAGCTCAATGCCCGACACAGGTGAATTCCAAATCGCATCTGAAGGGAACTGACTCATAAATGGTGGGGTTCTACTCCCTGAGAATGTCTTCCTTGAACATCAGGGCTTCTGTGGTCCTTGATATGGCCCATTTAACCAGTGTTAGTTTTGTGTTTTGAATTAAAGAATCTATCCATGTCTGTATATCTTGTAATATGCACAGCCATCTCTGTACACACACACTTATGTAACAGTTACTACAATAATATGCTGTCCCATGCCTGCTATAATAAAGCATTTTGTTTTTTAGTTTTTGATTTCATTCACAGAAGAATATAAAGTTGTGCATCTCCCTTGTCTTAAACAAAAACCTATTTCCTTCCTTCTGGTTGCCCGCCCTGCCCCCACCTCCCCTTCATTAGCAGGCCCCACACTCTGCATGCTACCTCCTTCTGTCCTCTGGCCTCCTGTCTTCACCACCCCCCTGCGTCTCACTTCACCAATCACTTGCCACCTCCAAATGCCAACGCCAGAAGCTAACTTGTTTCTTTACTTTGTGACAGTATTTCACACCTTACTTGTGTTTTTCTCTTGAATTCAGAGGAATTAATTGTCCTAATGAAAGCGAAGTGTTAAGGAAGAAGGCTTTTTCAGATGGAAAGTCAAACATGAGGAGGCCCTGAGTGAGAGCCGTAGTTACGGGGAAGTTGACTCAGGTGGTAGAGTCATGAATGGTGGTTTGGGAGATTTGAGGGACTGAGATATCTCAAGGTTTTGACAATGATGCCTGAGGATTGGAAACAGCAAGTCAGAAGTGTTGGGGCGGTGTGGTTTTAACATGCTGATTTTAAAGGGCTAGTAGGACTGCGATATTAATATTTATAGCCAACATGTTGAAACCCTAACACCCAAGGCAATGGCACCAGTTTGAACTCCTCAGATGTCAAACAAGGAACCTTGGGCAACTAGCATGGCTGTAGCCCTTTGTGTGCCATATTGATTGGGATCAGCACCCCAAGAAAAGGTGCTAGTCGAAGACAGCCACCCAGAGCCAGGAGTCACACTCTTATCAGACACCCAGTCTGAAGACTCCTTGATGCTGTAGTCCCAGCCTCTGTCTGGACTGCAGAGGAACCAGTGAGCGTTGTTTATAGCACTGTAGCTTACTTGGTATAGTTACAGCCCCCTGAGCTGACAGGTAGCTTGCAGAGGTGGGTCTGAACAGAGTAGAGAGCTTTACAGAGCCATGAGCAGGGGGACACTTGTCTAGGGAAATGACTAAATTGAGGAAGGTTCTAAAACCTGCCCTTTTGATGGCCACTAAGCAGGCCAGGCACAGATGCAAAGAGGAGGCCAGAGAGCTGTGAGAATCTGGAGGGGTAGGAGGCAGTGGTGGAGACTGACATGAAAGTCAAAGGAAACGTTTCCAAGGGAGACACATGTTTCCAGGGGAGCAAAATCAGATCTCATCTTGTCTCCAGATTCCACACAGTGAGACTATTCAGTCTACTATGCTTTATCATTATTATCAAGATAGAATTCAAATTATACTTGCTTTTTACAACCTTAAAACTTCCTCATAGTTTAAAAATGAAAAATACTATCTTCTTAGAGGTTAATCAGAGAAAGTTGTGTCTAGAAATGACTTTTATTATCTACTAAAAATCAGTGTATAAAATTGAAAAGTAACCAAAATATTCTACTTTCTCAATTAAAGTGTAGTGTATGAAAGAAAAATGATAGTTTCTGTTGGCAACTGTTCCCGGATTTATATTCTAAAATAATTATTATGTTGTCTGAATTGAAACCTCAGATTTTGACATAAAGACTGTGGGAAAATGACCACAACTCAGAATGTACAACCAGTGGGTTTTATGTTGTGGTTTCTGTTTTGAAAAAAATCAGATGTGACATCAAACACACACACACACACACAGACACACATACACACTCACACACGGCACACACTTGTTTACGCCCCCCCCCACTCAAACTTTTAACTTATTCCCAAGAAGTTGAAGAACAGAATACAGAATGTCCCTTTAGATCAAAATATGAAACCAATCCTGACTTCGAACATTTCAGTTTTTATTCTGCAAATTTGTTCCCTCTGTCTTGGTTCTGCTGGGTGTCAACTTGTATCATTTCTGAAAAGTCGGTTCTTTTCACTAATTGTATCTGCTTTTGCATACTGTGCAGGTCAGTTTGGCAGAGAGCTGGATTGTTCCGGACTTTTTGGTATTTTGTGGTAGGGAACAAAGGACATGTTCCAGAAGGAAAATGGACATAATACGTTCTGCACACACACAATGAGGGCGTACCACACTCTGGGGGCTAGAAGATAAAGCACCACAATGGAGGCATAGCTCCTGAGCACTTTAGGCTGTACCTCGCCCCTATGAGCAGACAACAAACTTGTATACAATGAAATTTCGGGGTTAGCTTTTAATGGCAATGGTCTATTTTCCATTTGAAATGTGTAAGATAATTTTTAGTGTTTGCCATGCAAGTTGTAAACAGGGGGCTGGAGAGATGGCTCAGTGTTTAAGAGCACTGGTTGCTCTTTCAGGGGACCTGGGTTCAATTCCCAGCACCTACATGACACTTAAACTGTAACTTCAGTTCTAAGGGACCCGACACCTTCATACAGACATACATGCAGGCAAAATACCAATACATATACAATAAAAATAAATACTAAAAAAGTCTATAAACATCCTCCTTTAGTTTTGATCCATTAGACAGAAATGACACTTAATCTCTGACTAGTGTAGAAACCCTGGTTACAAAGGTGAACTGAGGCTGACTCTCATTTCAACTTAGTTTCCTGTTTAATGATGCCCACGTTTGTTTCCACTTCAATTCAGTTATAAATGGTGCCGACAAGATCTCCTTTGAGCAGGCCTTCTTTGACATATAAGTTGATACAGAAATGATATTTTTCTTAGCACTGTTAACTTCAGGCTAGGATAAAACACAAGTAAAACTTATAAGATTGTGCTTGATTTTCTCCTTTATTTTTATTTTATTTTTAATTAAATAACACCTCAAACAACTGGGAAAAACAAAGAAGGCCAAGGCCTGTCACTCATGCAGGGAGACACACATTCCGAGCTACTAGAGATGACATGATGGCGGGGTGCTTCTACTATTGATGGAGGCTACAGAAGCTCCCGCTTTATCATTATTTTTTAACAGGCCATGTCATGTCTAGGTACAAAAGGAACAAGTCTTGGCTAGCTGAAATGGCACTCAAGATTTCTTCTTAAGTGTCACTTCATTCATAGCTACCCAGGATGAATAAATGACCTGTTCAGTGGTGAGGAACGGAGGGTCACTCAACTGCAGATCTACAGTAAGCAGGAGCTCCTGCAGGGACCACTGACCCATCCCCAGCGCTTGGTATCACTTTTCCTATCATGGTGACATTCAGGCATTGGTCTTAGACTCCTACATTCCAAGAAACTACCTTTTAAAAACCTCTCATCACCAGTCTGCCTTGTGATATTGGTGTGAAGAAAAGGGGGTCTTTGGGAATCTTAACCCAACACATATGCTACTTTGTACATAAATCAAATTTCCTTTTAGGCAAAACCTTTAGTGTTGTTACAATAAGTCATATGCATGAGAAACAGCATTTGAGTGTGAACTTGCTAGGCTTCTGAGTCAACATCAAAACAAAACCATTATGGACAATGTGAAAAACAAGAAGGGTGTTTTCTTGAAAGAATAAGAAAAGTTTCATTTTTTCCCCTTTCTCACATCTATTTTCAGTCCTTTAAAATTCCTAAAGGATTTCCTCTAAGAATGCACTTTCAAAAAAGCTAAGTGTTTCCTGGTCTGCACAGAGGTTCCAGGAAAAGAAATCATGTTATTCCAAGACTTTGATGATCTAAGGAAGCTGGAATCCCCCAATGCACCTCATTAATGCTCCTTGCCACAGAGTCGACCATCTGACAGCCAGGCCTTGAGTCTCTTACAGTAGTTTGTCTATTTCTACTGAGGAAGTTCACAGCACATCT